TGTAATTAAGTTCAAGACATAATTTTGCAAAATAAGGTCAAAAAATGAGGAATACTAACAATAGAATGAGACTAAGTTAAAATCATTGTCTTTATATGATCATCAAATATCACTCAAGTCAAATTCATGATTTTCATCAAGATGATGAATGACATATCAGAGAAGTACGTTGTGCGACTGCTACATACACTTATTATTGTTTATGTGTAAAAGTTTATACTAAAAATATGTCAGGTTCAGAAAAAACGTGAAGTTTGATATGATTGATTGGAAAAACATCATAAATCCAATAGTATTTCAAGTTTTGGTCTTTTAGGAAGCTAACTTTATCCGCCATGCAAATAACTTTATTGGTTAATAATTGCATTGTAACAATACAAGAACATGAGATCACGAGGAGAGATTTTCCCTTTTTCTTTTAAGCTATTATTGATCTACTATGCATTTAATTCACTAATTCAATTGATCATTTCATGTTTCTATTTTTTGTAAAATATAGAAAAAATACGTTTTATACGGGAAGTAGGAGTTTTTTTCCTTTTAAAACGGACCGACATTATTTTTCGTTTTAAACGCGTTTTTTTGTTTAAAAAAAACGGTACATGTTTAAAATGCGTTTTAAACGGAAAAAAACTAACTAGGCCAAGAACTACTCATGTCCTTGCCCTTTCTCACCTTCTGGTTTTGCTCACCAAGCCCTCCAGAATGTCTAACACTAGTTTAGAATACATGGGTATATTTTTAAACTACCAACTAGTCTAAGCTCTATTGATATGTATGAATTATAACTAGTCTAAGAGCATTAGACGAGTGGGGTGGTGGCCTAAGTGTAGGAGGGAAATCAGCTGACTTGATTTCTTCGTGTAGAGTATGATTCCTTTCTAACCACTTGGCTCCTTTACTTGTTTTTCCACTTGTCCACCACACCGGTTAACACTCACTCCTTCTGTATTTATAGACTTGATCATTGAATCTCCACCGTTGGCTGAGAAAATCAATCTTGACTGTAGCTTGATCTACTTGCTTTCTTCCACTTGAGTGAGACAGCATGGTTTGTCTTTGTCACTTAGTGACACGGATCAACAATCTTCAGCTCAACTTGTTTACACATTTCAATGCAAGATAAGAGATATTTTTATCTTTAATTTTTATGCGCATAAACCAGTATAAAACTCAGTGATATTTCAATGCTTCCTGACAACGAACGAACACTTGCTTTTGTAAAATAAATTTATAAGAAATTTATGATGTGATAAAAATCTCTTATAAATTTACTTTTGAACAATTTGTTCTTTTGTCTGCAAGTTGGTCTTTTATCTAAGTGTTTTGTGGCAAGAGAAGAGAGAATTGGATTTCGGGTGAGTTAGCTGAAAACCCAGCTTTCGGCTGGCTGCCAAGCATTTTAGCTGGCTGCCCAGAAAATCAGCTGCCTGCTGAATTCTGGAGTTTTCCAGTTAGCTCATTCCTAAACTATGAATACCAGTTAACACTTTTCGTACATTTTCTCTTTTTTTTATCTTTTTCTTTTCTTTTGTTTTATGGTACGTTTAACTTCTCTTTTTAGTACTCTTTGCTTTTTATGAGTACTTTACCACTAAATATGTAGCACATTACAAATAAACAAAGTAGAACATAGGTAGTAGACTAGTCCAATACAGGAATAATAAAAAGGGAGGACATCATCAAAACTATTACACTATCATCAAAATCTAGGGGACCTAACATTAACATTGACATAAAGTGTAGTTACCAAATTAAAAATGAAAAAAAATATAAAATCCTAACATTTCTCTAATGTCATGCCATAACTCTCGCATGGAGTGCATTATATTTAATTAAACGTTAAAACTAAAGTTATCAAAACTAAAAAAACGATAAACTGAGGTGCCATAACTTAAGTGCATGAAGTGCATTCTATATCGTGCCGTGAACGCAACATAAAGTGCAATAAATGTCATGCAATTACGCCTTCATAAAGTGCATTATTTTTATCGAGCTGAAAGTAGTGTAAAATGCATCTTTTTTAATGTAACAAAATTTCTGTGAAAAAGGGTATTTCCGTGACTCCGTCCTTTCACAATTTAATAAAAAAAATTCTTTTTTTGGATTTTTGGCCATATTTCGGGAAAAAAACATAACTAGTCACATTTCAGGATACTCACTTTGTTTTGGTCATATCCAGGGAAATTTCTCTATATACAAATATATTTATAGGGGGAGATGCCATGCAAACTAAGCTTCCGGTGCAAATCTACAAACCAACGGCATCTGCTGGATTTAACCATGGAGAAGATTGATGCATTATTGAAATGCTGCACTCAGCCGTAGGTGATAAAAACGGATAACACCGTTTGAGATGATTTGGTCAATTAAAAGGTCATAGAGGTAATTTAATAAAACAAAAACAAAGTCATCCCATTAAATGTTGATGTATTGTAGCAACATGCGTTTTTTTATTTAGCAAGGTTTGAAATATGAAATCATTGGTTTTACTCAGACATCTCATTTAATTAACCGTCCAAGTAATAACCTCCCATTTATTTAATGATGAATTCTAAATAAAGAAAGATATTGCTTCATAAGTAACCTTCCATTTTTAACAATAAAAAGGGATAAGTTTGAGAGGTCTAAATTGCAGAAGTTAATTTATGGAATGAAGCGTTTCATAAAAAAATATCCATTTTTGAAAATTAAAGATGGCAAGATGGGTAGCTATTGATTGCATAAGTGAATAGTTCAACATAATTTTATGAAGCACAACATATTTACTTGAAGTGTATAATAAGGCTATGTGATATGCATATTAAGGTTATATGATGTGCATATTAAAGTCATATGATATGCATTAAAAATGCAAGATGTGCATTATACATTCATAATATCTACATAACTTATATTAGAAGTACATAGTTATAAAATATGTTGATGTTGCATTTTAGCATTTCTTTTTTTTTCGGAGGAGCCACTAAAAGTGGGGAAAGCGCTGGGGAACACTTTCCAATTTTATTAAAAAGGTAAAATTACAATGCATGAGTTGAAATGAAATATTACAAGATAAAGCACAAAAGAAAGAGTTAACAATTAAAGTTTTTGTCAGGCACCCCTAAAGAGGTTGAGAGAGATGGATTGTACTTATTGTGAAAACGGATGGCTCGTTGAAGATAAGGAGGGTAGGTCTTTGCCTCCGGGTGTGATTCCTTGAACCGTTTGAGTCTTGTAACTAGCTTGTGAGGTGACTCATAACTGGAGTAAATCGGATAGATAAAATAGTCTTTGTCATCTTGAAGCATTGTTGATCGGCTACTGGTTTCATATGTTGCATTGTATCATCATGACATCTGCATTTTAAAAGTTCGTACATTGCACTTAAGTAAGATGATATGTGCTCTTTAATAGTTCATACTGCATCTTATTATCAGTATTACATTTGCATTTTTTTTAGTTCAGATGTTACATTCTACTATTATGACATGTGCATTTTGGAAGTTCGTATATTGCACCTTAGTAAGATGATAAAAGCACATTAATAGTTCATATTGCATCTCATCGCTATGACATCTGCATTTTAGTAGTTCATATGTTGCATTTAGTCATTATGCATGTGCATTTTAGAAGTTTATAGACTACATTTTAATAAAATTGTATGTGCACTTTAGAAGTTCATACATTGCATCTTAGTGAGATGGCGTGTGCATTTTAATTCATATGATTCATCTTATCATTATCACCTTTCATATAATCATATGCACTTTAAAAATTCATACTGCATCTTATTATTGTGGCTTCAGCATTATATACTCAATTCACATGCATACTAAATTCACGAGGTTACATAATGCACAATACAAGTAACGTAAGAACATCATAAATGTTTCAAGCAAATTAATCACTTAAGCAATTTTATTTTTGCATAAACACGAATTTGATGAATTACATGAAGACGAAAATCAAAACGTTAAATATAATTAAGATTTGTGACAATATGAGATTTTAGTAGACTTGTATGGACTTCTCAAGATTGCGTGGATTTTTAAGTAAGACATTTGAAGATATTTATGGATTGTTTACATATTTGAGATAAAGGGTGAAGCTTTCTGCAAGGTATCTGATGGTTGGTGTAAAGTGTGAAGCTTTTTGCAAGATTCAGGTCATACTTGCAACTTACCAATTTTCTTGAAAGTGGAAGCTTTAGGGTGCTCACAAGCTTTATTTCACAATTCAGAGATTCACTGGGTTTTGCAGACCACAACACAGAAGTTTTCGGCGACCAATTTTCGGCAGAGTTAGGGATTCGTCCGGCTGGGAAAGAAATCGAGACACACATGGAACATGATTGAATGTATATTAAATATATATATGAGGAATGTTCATGTCAGGCCGGCTTGACGGGCTGCTCCGTCCGGCCGAGCCCGTTTGGGCACCTTCCCGGTGGAATTTTTTGATGAAATTTTTTGAGCATATTCCTCATCAAGTCTAGTTTGTCCATACCAAATTTCAGCTCAAAATTCGATCGGGAAGGCATTCAAATCATTTTTTGAAGTTGACTGCAGTTTTATATGTATATTTTGACACAGTCAACTTCAAAAAATGATTTGAATGCTTTCCCGATCGAATTTTGAGCTGAAATCATTTGACGACCTTCCCGGTTGAGTTTTTGGCTGAATTTTTTTGTGGATAAACTAGACTTGATGGAGAACATGTCATAAAAATTTCATCAAAAAAAGCCACCGGGAAGGCGGCCAAACGCCTTGGTCCGGACGGCGGTTCCGGTCAGGAGCTCCTGACCTGAACATTTGTCTATATATATACATTTCTTGAATGAATACATCCCCTTAATCATATTTTAGGGAAATAAAAAATATACATTTGTGATTAAAATAATGCATAGTTGGAACATGCACATTTGTGAATAAAATAATGTACATGTACATTTTCAAATTTATGATAGTGCACATTTCTGTTTCATACGTAGTATAATGCACAATCACCAAATTCAATGCTCCAAAGTAATTCTAAAATTTATTTGAGATCATGTCCTCATTTGAACCAAATTCTACAAAGACACACATACATGAGATTTAATAAAGTAACATGTAGTTAGAAAAATATTAGAAAGAAATTTAACATGCTGGGCCATTAAACAACAAACAAAGCCTTTTTTGTAGGTAAGCAACTTGCAACTACCTTAATGTTGAAAGTTTTAATAAAGTACATGTAGATTTATTTCTAGGTTTGCTATTATTTGATCAACAATTAAGGAGTAATATTAGTGTCACCACAGGTGGGATCCACGTTGACTCGTTTACCAGGGCTGATGTCGCTGAGATAATCATCACCGTCGATCTGGTCCAGCACGAGGACCAAGCCCATTGCAAATGCCCCATCAAAGCCAGGATTGAGTGTGAGTGAGAACACGTCCTTACCAAGCACCACATTCGTTGACAAGTCTACTTTCCGACGAATCTCCGCCACGCATTCCTTGTCGGCGTTGTACATCGTGCAGCTCCGGTGGGCGAACGACCCTTCGATGGTGTACTCTTCGCTTGGAGTGTGGTACACCTCCACCGCCACGCTCGACCGTCCGATTATCGACGACCGCCGCACGCTAAAGATCGGATTCTGCCCCTCCACTCTCTCCCCTAAGTACCCCTCCCATCGGTTGTGCAGGCTCGGCCTCTTCCGCCGGACGGAGAGGAGGCATTTTCCGGCGGCGTCCATGAGGACGACTTCGCTCCGGTCGCGCGCATCGGGGCCGTAAGTGTCTACGCGGAAGAGAAGTCCGCCGTCGCAATCGTAGGCGGAGAATCCATCTCCGGCGAAGAAAAGAGATGTTTTCCGAACAGTTAGATGCTTTTCTTCGGCGTATACGTACCCTTCGTCTATAATTGCTCTGTTTTTCATTGTATTCTACTTTATCTGTGTGCGAATCGAATCTTTCTATGAGTAAGAAACATATCAATGGAGTTGAGAATAAACAAAGGCAATGGAGGAGCAGAGCAGCAATGTGTCGACTCCAGAAGAAAATACTTACGAGCTATGTAGCACCTATACAGTACATGCATACGGAAACGGGTACGGGATACGTCAAAACAAAAAAAGTAGGATACGGATACGAGGTCATATTTATAAATATTAAAAGTTATGGGGATGTATTTACAAATATTAAAAGTTATAGGGGTCTATTTATAAAAATTAAAAAAAGATTTTTTTTGAATATATATATATATATATATATATATATATATATATATATATATATATATATATATATATATACACACACACACATATAATATCATATGATGTCTACCCATTCATTGCATTGAAGCATTATCCTTTTTCAATATACTTAGTAATAAATACATAATATTTCTCATATACACTAGTGCATCTCGAAAGATAAATGTAGTCAATAAGTCATTAATTTAAAATGAGAAATAATTCAAACAACTACAATCTTGAAATTAAAAGTGCAAGTACCCAATTCAGAGTATGAGTTAATGACTTAATTCGGATATAGCCATATAGGCCCATTATTTGATTACCAAGTAAAATGTAGTTTTAGATTTTTATTTTTTTTTGAATTTCATTAAGTATATTTTGGGATTTTTTTCAAAAAAAAAAGTTGATACGGGTATCCGTAAGGATACGAGTATCGGAAACTTTCAAAAATTTACAAAAAAAATGGAAACTTTTAAAAATTGCAGATACGGCCCGAGAACATACAGTACTGGTATCCTAGAGTATCGGATACGGGAACGTATCGGATACGCCGATACGCTACCCTATGGAAGTATCCGTGCTTCATAGCTTATAAGTATTATACTCTGTCTCGAAATTAAATTTAGCTTCCACAAATTATCTAGAGAAATGGTCCTAAATAAGACCAAAATTGCACCGATATACACCGAAAAGGACCGGTTACTTTTAAACTCCTAAATAAGAGTATATTTTCCGTATCTTCCAATTTTGCCCCTACACTTATATCACCGTGTCTTGTACTCTTGTCTTAATTTCTCTATTCCGTACCTGCCGATCAGCCTCTCCAATAAGAAGATGTGCATTTTGGTGCAAATCGGGAAGAAGATGGCAGCGGCGCACAGTGACTTAGAGACGTTGTACAGCGTCAGCGACGGTGAACGGCGTCAGCGCCGATGGACGGCGGCACGACGTCAGTGTTGTCGGTGGACGGCGGCAGAAATCCCTCCCCCTCTTACTCCTCTTTTCCTTCTCTTCCACCTTGTTCTTCTCTTCTCCTAGTCTATTCCGCCGATCCGGTTCCTTTATCTGATTTGATCCGGTGTTGTGGCTTGCCCCATCCTTTCTCTCGCTTCTACTTCCTGCTATTTTTTTCTTCCGTAGTGTTTGTTTGTTCACTGTTCATTTATTTGGCATCAATTTGTTGGCTGCTCTTGTTTTGCCTTTTGCCTGGCTGCTTGATTTTCTAATGTTTTTGCTTTATTTCTTTCTTATCTATGTTTTTATTTTCACAGATCTTACGCATTGTTTTTTTTTTTTGCCTTTTTTGGAGCTAGTTTCTTTTGATTTGTTGTTTTCTTTTCAAATTTATTATTCAAATACTCCGTGTTATTTATTTTTTCCTTTCCAAATTTTTCTACAGAAGCATAGTTGGAGTATTACAACTGCAGAGTGGGCTTGGAAGTTGGAAGTACTCTGAGAGTCCCCATAGTGCTTTACAGTCTCTTGGATTTGGTACCATTTATTGTTGGATGTTTCGGCATGGAATTAGAAGCCAGTGTCGGATGCACAAGCTTAAGATTCATTTTTTGCTCTTGGGTTCCATGATGTGGTTTTGGAAGTTTCTGATGCTGCAAAATTGATTTGAATTTCTAATGTGTGAACTAGAATGCTGCTAATATGTGTGTTTTTGTTTTGGAAGTGTGAAGTGTCAATAAAATAGACAATGTTATTTTATATTTTGAATAATGGTTGTTTTTATGACATTGCCAATGACAATGTTAATAGAATAGACAATGTCACATTCTTACTAATGACAATGTTATAAATTGTGTTAACATTGTCCTATTTTTCATTTTTTGGACTTTATGTCTTATTTTTTCATTCAAACAATGATATCATTACATTGTATATTACATTCTCATATATGACATCATTTATTATATTTTCATATAATGTCATTGTATATTACGATGTTGTACAGTAACACTGTAATACTTTGGCACTATTAATGTTATGTCATTTTTATGACATCGACATCGAAATAGTATGTCATTTGTATAGTGTTTACAATGTCATTGGCATGACATTGATTTTTAAATAATAGTATTAATTAAATTACATTGTGACGTGATTTTTATAGCATTGAGATTGACATTGTCATTATTTTGGCACTTTTAATAACATTGTCTGTTGTGACATTGTTTTGGCATTGTGATACTTTTCCGACATTGTGACATTTTTCTTATATTTTAACAATGTTCACAATATTGTAATATTATTTATTTTGGAAATGCTTATAATAAAAAAGGATAATATTTATAATAACACTATTTGACATTAAATTGTAATATTGTCTTACTACATTGCCACATTGTGATATTGACATTGTAATATGAATATGACAATGACTAAGAAATACTTTCCAGATTTTATTTTTACTTAATTATTAAGAAAATTAATTTGAAAAACTAATACATGTACTTCGTATATCTGCAAAATAAACACTAGTGGCAATATTTGGCACTGATCGAATCAAACCAGTTTGCTTGAAATTGGATCAGATTGATTCATCTGGAATGTTGCTCTCAAGTTTGAATGCAATGTAGTTTCTGAGCTCGAATATTTATTTGTAAGATGAGGTTTGACAGAGGCAAAGGCTTTCCGCCATAAATAGCCGGCTGGACGTCGAAAGCTTCTCAGAAGAATGGCCGAGGACGCTCGGACGTTAAGGTTGACGATCTAGACGAAGAGGAGGATGAATCTAGTCGGCGGCCACTTTAGTGATGGCTCGCGCCGGCAAAGGCGTAATTGCCAACGATGTGAATCGATTGCTGTATATGATGGGCTGGATTTGTAGCAGCGGCATTGTGTAAGGGTATTTTTGTCCCTTCGGTTCAAATGAGTCCTATTTAGGGTTAAAAAAGTATGAGGTCCTATTTACTTACGGGGCTTTTGTTTAAGTCCTATCTAAGTCTATTTCCCAATAATTATCTACATCAAAACAGTGTCAAACAGTGCCAAAATAATAAAATCTTCCCCTAGTAAATTTATTTCCTTCATATGTATAATTCAAAACGGGAAGTTGTTTCGGGGACGGAGATAGTATACTCCATTACTCCTGGCCTTTGCACTGAAAAGCAAAACACATTTACTTAGAGAGTTTTCCTAGAGTTTTAGAAAGGAAATATACTCTTTTTCCGGAATTTCCTTCCAATGTACTACGTTGACTTGGCTGTACTTTCCTATTTCGATATACTCCGTATTTTATTTTTCGCTATAAGTTTTTCATTTAACATATTAATTTATACTAGTATTACTCATTGTTTTATACTACCTCTGTCCCTACAACAACATCTCGTTTGAATTGTGATGTTTGACTGACGATAAAGTAATTTGATTCCTGTTCATATTCAAATTATTTTTTGTAAATAAACTTTATATATTCAGAAACTAGATTAAAAAACGCTACAAAGTTTGATAAAAATGTAAATTTGATAAAACTTTTATATTTATAAAACAAAATATTAAGAGTAATTAATTTAAGTTGGCCATGTGAATAATGAATGACAAAAGTATTTTTTATGTTCTCCCGTTTGATAAAACTTTGTAAACTACATTAAAAGTGCTAGAAAGCATGTTAATTTTGGAACGAAAGGAGTACTTTTTATGTTCTCCCGTTTTTCATTTATATTGGCAGAAACATCGAAGGAATGAACTAAAGGGTGAATTCCCCCACCCAAACATATCCAATTTCCAAAAACTCTGAGTTTATAATGTTTAAATTTCCAGTAATAGGACTTACAATTTATGACTGGACAAAACACCAGCAAATAGAGCACTTAAAAGGGTTAAATATTAAATTGGGCTCAATGGCTACAGTAAATACGGAGTATCATATTTCATACTAAAGTTTCAAATGGAACTAATTGAACACTACGGTCACATGAGAATATTATATTGGACACTCAAGTTTTGAATTGATCAAATATTCACGAATTTAACATTCTTTTGGTCATTTTTGAAAACTCATCTATGGTTTTTCATATGCCATCAATGAAAGTCATTAGTTTTCTTTTCCTTAATTTTATGTGCCTGAAAATAGAAATAACTTAACTCGTAATTTTTTACTTCGCGTGCTGAATTCTGTAATAATGAAAACAAATAAGGTCGATCGATAGAATAATGCAGAAACTTGATTAAAAATGTGGTATTTTCAAATCACCCAAGGGTGAAGTTTTTTTTGTGACAAGAGTGTTCAGGGTGTTTACCTACAGCAGATAAACTAGCGGCTAGGAGGGTTAATTGTCCTATGCATTGTAAGTTGTGCTCAAATGAAACTGAAAATTTGATTCATATTTTTCATTCGTGCTCCATTGCGCAGCAGGTCTGGTTCTTGATGAATTGGGAGTTGCCTACACCTGGTGGAACAATTTTTGCAAGTTGGATTCAGAAGCGGTTTGAATCTGGGAATGAGAGTTTTCTTGGGATTTTATTATATTTTATTGATGGCTATTGCGCTAAGCTTCAAGGACGGATGGCACCGAGCCCAGGGAATGGATAGTGTGCCAGGCAGTCGAACTCCCATTCCCAGATTCAAACCCATGCCATGGGAGGATTAAGTTCAACGGAGACAATCCTTAAAAAGGAGCAGGCGGTGTTGGTGGACCCAGAAAATTAGAGTCACGAAGTCCCTAAACTAATGTAACTCTCATTAATATAGAATTAAAGAAAAATATTAAGAAGCATAACGTTTCATAGTTAACGTACATGGTACATAAAACCTATCTTTTTTATTCCATGCCGAAAATGATATTCTCAAAAAATTATTACCACCA